CGCTGCCCTTCGTGGCCCCGTTGCAACCCTTCGTGGTCCCCTTGCTTTGTTTCGTGGCCCCGTTGCAGCCCTTCGTGGCCCCCTCGCTTTGTTTCGTGGCCCCGTTGCAGCCCCCCGTGGCCTCGTTGCAGCCCTTCGTGGCCCCCTCGCTTTGTTTCGTGGCCCCATCTATGTATGCCCTTCGTGGCCCCCGCTCGTTCGCGCCCGTGGTGGCCCCATATGCATGCGTTTCGTGGCCCCGCTGTCGCCCTTCGTGGCCCCCTCGCTGCCCTTCGTGTCGCCGTTGCTGCCCTCAGTGGCCCCGTCCATACCACCCGCGGCCCAACATACGTATGCCCTTCGTGGCCCCCGCTCGTTCGCGCCCGTTGTGGCCCCATGTGCATGCGTTTCGTGGCCCCGCTGTCGCCCTTCGTGGCCCCTTCATTGTCCTACGTGGCCCAGGTGCTACCCTCAGTGGCCCCATCGTTGCCTTCTGTGGCCCCGCATTATCTGCCCTTCGTGGCCCACGCTCGTTCGCGCTTTTCGTGGCCCCATACGCATTCCCTTCGTGTCCCCGCTGTCGCCCTTCGTGGCCTACTTCGTGTCCTTCGTGGCCCTGCTGTCGTTCTCTCTCGCTCTCGCTTTCGCTCGTCGTCGTCGCCGCCGTCGCCGTCGTTGCCGTCGTCGTCGGCGTCGTCGTCGTCGTCGTCGTGGTCGGTCCCCTGTCCGTCCCTCTTGGGGTCGGGTCGACGATCCGCGGCCGCCCCGCCGATCAGCGCTGCCGCTAGCCAGGCCGACGGTCCGCGGCCGCCCCGCCGCTTGCCGGGGCCCGGCCTGCAGGGAAGAAAGGTATACCCCCCAACAGGGGTTCGATCGAAGACGAAAAGGGCGGGTATCGAGGGTTTGGGAAATTCGCGTTATTCGACACTCGAGCAGATAAGGGCGAACAGTCTTAAAATGATTGTTGTTCTTGTTGTTGTTGTCGGCGTCGTCGTCGTCGTTGTTGTTGTTGCTGTTGTTGTTGAACCCTCACTCCTGAATAATAATCATTGGTGATCCCCCTCACTGGTGCATGCTGTTTTTCTTTATCAAAATGTGCCCCATCGACGCTCGCACCGTGTGTTTTGAAAGGGAAAGTCTTGCTGCTCAAACTAAGCCACTGGCCCCCCGCATTATAACAACAACGGCTCCCGCCTGAGACTTCCTCCAAATTTACTCAGGACCCCCGTTCCTGAGACTTCCTTACAATTCACGCAGGATCGGTGCTCCCGCCTGTGACTTCCTCGCAATTGAATCAGGAGCCCCGCTCCCATCTGAGACTTCCTCACAATTTACTCAGGAACGACGCTCCCGCTTGAGACTTCCTCGCAATTGAACCAAGACTTCCCCGCAGTTTAATCAAAACCCCCGCTCCAACCAAGGAGCCCGTCACATTTTATTCAGGAGTTGCGCTTTCGCCTGTAACGCCCATGTAATTAATTTTTAGAAATCGCGCTTTCAACGCTCAGGCAACGCGCTGCGCCAAGGACGCCGTCACACTTTACTTAAGAATCGCGCTCTCGCCATACTCAGGCATCCCGCTTGAATGTCCCACCCGCCCGACCCGCCCGTCAGGGATCGCCCGCCCGTCGTGTGTTCCCGCCTGAGACTTCCTTCAGACATGGCGCTTTCGCCTAGGACTTCCTCGAAAGTTCACGCTCGTACCTTCCTGCTCCTCCTCCATCTCCCTCCTCCCTCCTCCCTCATATCCTCCCTTCTCTCTCCCTCCTCTCTTCCCTCATCCTTCTGCCTCTCTGCTTTATCACCACTCCCTCCACTCCCTCCTCTCCCTCCTCCCTTCTCCCTCCCCTCTCCTGCCTCCCCCCTCCCTCTTTTTGTTTTTTTGTTCTCTCTCTCTCTCTCTCTTTCTCTCTCTCTTTCTCCCCTCTCTCTCTGTCTCTCTTTCTCTGCCTCTCTTATATGCATTTGTTGTTTGTTCTCTCTCTCTCTCTCCCTCTCTCTCTCTCTGCCTCGAATCATCAGCCCCCCTCTTCGTTCCTTCTCTCCTGGCGTTTTCCCTATTCCTTCGTCACTCCCCCTCCCCCTCGTTTCCCCCCTCCTCTTTTTGAAGGGCCCTCACCAATTGTCCACCCGTTCAGGTTTGCCCGCCTGTCTAAGCCCGCCGCCCCCCGCAAAGAGAAATAATTCCTCCAAAGGGGGTTGTGATCGAAGACAAAGATTGCAGGTATCGAAGGTGTGGGGAACTCGTTTTGAATGACACGCGGGCAAGTAAGAACGAACAATATTATAATGAGTGTTGCTGTGGTGGTCGTGGTGGTGGTGGTGGTGGTGGTGGTGGTGGTGGTGGTGGTGGTGGTGGTGGTTGTTGTTGCTTGTTGTCGTCCCTGCGACCCACCTCGCGAGCAACCCCGCGACCCACCCCGAGACCCACCCGCGACCCGCCCGCGACCCACCAGCGACCCACTCCGTTACCCGCCCGCGGCCCATCCTGCGACCCAGCCCGCGACCCAGCCCGCGACCCAGCCCGCGACCCAGCCCGCGACCCAGCCCGCGACCCAGCCCGCGACCCAGCCTGCGATCCCCCCCGCGACCCCCCCACGACCCAGCCCACGACACCCCCGCGACCCACCTGCGACCCATACGCGACCCACCCGCGACCCACCCGCGACCCACCCGCGACCCGGCCCGCAACCCACCCGCGACCCACCCGCGACCCACCCTGCGATCCACCCACATTGTTTTAACGAAAAAAGTCGGCGCCTGCGGCGGGCTCACTGCATAATTGATAAAACTTGAGCGCCTGCACCGGGCTTCTTCAGAGCCTCGCAGACTGACGACGTCCTCGCCGCCCCCTCACTCTTATCCGCAACTGCGGGGTGCTACGGTATCTCATGACTTGTTGCTCAACCTGTGGGCGGTACGCCACGGTCGACGGACGCCAGCTGGCCGCAAAGTGTGAGCCATCGCGTAAGGGACGCGAGAACTTGTCGAGAATTCGGCAAGGGCTCTACCCGCGGCGCGAGGGAGTGCCACAAGCCGTCCAGCGCGCCTTGACCGAGCGGCTGGCGGCACAAAGTGCGGGACCTCCGTCCCCTCCCCCTGCCGAAGGAGCTGCTCTGTTGCCCGTCGGGGCCTCTCTTGCGGCTGAGCCGTAGGTGGATGCCCTGCGTGGTTGCTTTGCGGGTCCGTCGGTGGCCTCCCCCCTCTCCCCTGCACGATCTCTGTGTGGGTCAAAAGGTCAAAAGGTCCTCCTCCCCCTCCTCCTCCTCCTCCTCCTCCTCCTCCTCCTCCTCCTTCCTAGGGTTGCACGGCTGTTTTTTCGAAGACGAGGAGGAATGAACGCGACCACAGAACATCACCTGATTCTGCCTCGACCGCTGTGCGAATCAGAAGGTCGCCAAGCAGACAAGGAACACAAGAACCGACCTGCAATAGGCAACCTCATGCAATGAACCGTGGCCTGAAAGAGGAACGAGCGTGCGGCATGCGTGGAGAAGGGACAAGCGAGGAGGAGAGAAGGGAGGCAATTGGCAGGGCGGGCACGGCGGGCGAAAACCGAGGCTCGCCACGGCCACACACCATACCCACTCGGTAGGGCGCAGCGTGTAGTATGGAGAAAAGCTGGGGACTAACGACGGATCAAACAAAAACTCAAAGAACGACGGCGCGCGTCATCAAAGAAGCGCGAGGCCCGAACGCCGTGAGACCGGAAGTGCACGACCGTGGCGGCGGTGACAAACAAACAAATTATGAATAGTAGGGGAGACACGTAGGAAGGGGGAAGAAAGGGGAAAGAGGGGGGAATGGAAGAGATCCGGCGCGCAACGCACCGCAACTGGAAGACAAAACCCGCCGGCGCCACACTGGTGACGCAGGCGCGGAGGATCGGTCGGCGCGAGGTCCGACGCGAAGGCAAGGTATGCAACAACGACAACATAAACTGCGTGCAAGGAGCTATCCCTGGGCGGCGAGCTGGCCCGAGTGCCACGGCCCCGCAGCAGCGGAGTGGAGGCATTGCGCGGGCTACACGCATGGAATGGCCTGAGCCGTTCCCGGCGAGGGCCAAAGCTGTAATGGTGTTGGCATGGCCGAACTGTTCCGAATGTAGACTAGCCTGTTCTGGATTTGGCCTTTCCGCTACTGGTGAAGACCATCCTGTTTTGGAAGAAAGCCGGTGTTCCGGGTATGACTTCTTCAAGTTTTCCGTCATCCTATCCCTTCGTTCCTGCCTCCTCACCCCGCCTCCTTTCTTTCTCCTCCTTTTATCTCTCCACCCTCCGACGTCCCTCCTGTCTCGTCCGCCCACCATCTTCACCGATGGCCAGGGAAAGTGGAGATCTGGCGGGAGGTGGGGAACGGACATTGTGCACACTTTGTTCTCGCTCTTCGGGAATGTCAGCTTCACGCTCTCTCGCACTGTCGTTAAAACAACATCTCTTCCGTCCGTTCTCCCGCTCCCTGGAAGCTCTTGGAGAGCTCCGGGAGCTCCCGGGGAGCCCCGGGAGCACCCAGGGAGCCCCCGGGAGCCCCCGGGAGCTCCTGGGGAGCATTTGGGAGCTTCATGGGAGCCCCGGGAGCTCCCTGGGAGCCCCGGGAGCACCTGGGGAGCATCTGGGAGCTCCTGGGCGAAGCCCTGGGAGCTCCCGGGCGAAGCCCTGGGAGCACATGGGGAGCTCTTTGGTGGGCGTGTTTTCCATCACCACCACTAGGAGGGAGGGGGTCCTCCTCCTCCTCCACTTCTTCCTCCTCCTCATCCTCCACCTCCTTCCCCACCCAACTTATGGTGGTGGTGGTGGAAAGCAGGCCCATCAGCTCTTGGGAGCTCCTGGGGATTTCCGGGAGCTCCCGGGTGCACTTGGGGAACTCCTGGGAGCTCCCAGGGAGCCCTGGGAGCACCTGGGGAGCTCCTAGGAGGTCTGGTCGCTAATCCACGCGCACTGGTCAATGTCAGCGTCCCCTCGAAACGAGAGGAGGTCCAGTTCTTCCCCCTCCCCCCGCACGCGAGGGCCCCAGGCGGGCGCCTCAGGTTGCCCGACCCCGCTGCCGCCGTGTCTTCAAGCTGCTCCTTGCCCGCGGCTTCCTGGCCCTGTCCGCGGGCGGAGGTGGGCACGGGGCGAAAGAAGGACGGGGGGGGATGAGAAAGGGAGTGCTGGAGGGCGGTGGGCCAGCTGCGGCGGGCGGGAAGGGAGGGGAGGCTGCGCTGCGAGGCTGGGCTTCAGCGTCCAAAAGAAACGGCCCTAGCCTACGCGGGGTTAGGCGATGGCGCCGAAGCCGCTGAATCACACTCAATCAATAACCTGTGGTTGTGTCGCTGTGCGTGGGGGGAAGGAACATGACGGGCAAGACGGGGATGTGGGAGGCGGTGGGGGTGGAAGGGAAGGGCATCAGTGCCAAGAGGCAAAGAGCGGAGGAACGACGGGAAGCAGAAGGGAGGGAAGAGGAAACGCAAAGGGGAGGGAAAGAGCATAGGGATACGGACAGGGCAAACAAGAAGGGGAAAGGGGATGGCGGGATGGCGCGCTCGTGCACATCTGGCCCCACCACCCATCCCATGCCAGGCTGCTGATGTTTGCTCCATCCGCCGACGGGTGTCCTTGCGGACCTAGGAAAAAACCTTCATGTGATGCGCAATCAGACATGAGAGCTGCGCACATTCGAAGAGGAGGGGCGGATGAACAGGACGATGAGCAGGAGAGAGAGGAAGACGAGAAGGAGAAGATGGAGGAGGAAAGAAAAGAGGAAGACACATAAAAAATATGAGTAGCAGCGTGACCAGAGCTAGGAGAGGGAGGAACAGGAAAATCAGGCCGAAGACTTCGCCCTGGCGCGCGCCGCCCCACTGTCGCAGCGGGTGGTTGCCGCCTCGGGGCTGCCGCCAGCTGCCGCTGCAGTCGCAACGCCTGCCGCCGCTGCTGCTGCTGCTGCTGCTGCTGCTGCTGCTGCTGCTGCTGCTGCTGCTGCTGCTGAGGCCAGGTCGTACCCGCCCGACATGTGAAACGGGGGCTGTGACGTCGACGGGCTGAATCTTTCCGCCCCCGTCTCTGGGCCGTACCCTGAGGCCGCCCTCGGGGTCCGTGCCCTCTGACATGTTGGGGCCGTACCCTTGAAAGCAGAACGCCCCGTCCACCCCCAGTGGGGACTGGCTACCTCCCTCACCTTCCCAGCGAACAGCTGCAACACCTCCGCCGACGGGCCCTCGAGCAGGACGTGAAAAGGCCGTGCCCTGGGGCCGCCGCCCACGGTTGCCTCTCAGGCTGTCCTGCGAGGCCAACCTGATTTGACACCTTGGGGCCGTCCCCTTGATGGCCGAACGCCCCCGTCAGCCCTGCGTGGGTCCGACCCCCCATCCCAGCCGTCAGCGGGGAAGCTCACCGGGTCAGCGCGCCTCAGGTTGCCCGTCAAGGTATCGAAACCGTGCCCCATGTCGGTGGCAGCCTGCTCCTCGGCGTCGTACAACTCGCTGCGCACCGCCTCTCCGTAGTTGTCATCGCGGGTGCGCGCCGTCACGCCCACGCTGCCCACAGGTCCTCCACGGCTGCTTCTTCGGTGGCGACGCGCCGAGGTCGTCGAAGAAGCGCTCGTAGGCAGCACGTACCACATCATCAGGAGGCCGCTCAGCCCCATCCTCGGCGGGAGGCGCATGTCCAGCCTTTTTGAGGAACGCGTACTGGTCGGCAGGGGTGAGCCCCTCGTCGCCCATGGCGTCGTCGCCCGCCGTCTGGCGTTCCGCCCGAGACTCGGCATCGCTCGGGCTGCCGTCGCCAGCACTGGCCGTGGGCTCTCGCCCCTGGCCCTGCGCAGCCGCGGCCCTGCGCGCAGCCTCGGCAGCCTCCGCGGCCTGTGCCTCAGCGGCGATCTGCTTCTCGTGCGCACGAGCGCGCCTGAGCACCGTCTCCGCAAGCTCCTGCTCCACCATCAAGCACCCCAAGGGTCTTCCCAGGACCTCCGCCGCGACGCGCTGGCCGCCGACCTACGCGACGCCGCCCAACCCAGCAGCAGGTCCCGCAAGTGGTTGAGCCACCGCGCCCCAAATTCGCGCGCGTTCCGCCTTGAGCTCGCCGGCGTGCGCTTCCTTCTCGAGGTTGGCCGCCCGCAACTCCTGCGTTTTGGCAGCCAGCTCCTTCATCTGGAGCTCCACCGTCTCCAGCTCGCTGCGGCCCTCCTCCAGTTGCTTCTCCTGCTTCTTGATGCGGTCGCTCAGGCTCTTGAGCTACACCTCCTTTGGCTTCGAGGCGACGAGGGCACTTCGCAGCTGGAACGTCGCCCGCGTCTGCCCACGCCTGCAATGCCGCCAGTTTCTTCTCCACGGCCTCCAGGCGCTACCTCTCTGGCGAGGACTCGCGCCATGGAGGCGCAGCCGCCGCCCCGCCCTCAGGCACGGCCCCTGGGGCCGCTGGGGCCCTGCTCGGCCTCCGCCTCGAGCTTCTTGATGCGTCCCATAGCCCGGGCGAGTCGCTCCTTTTCGCTAGGCCCCGCCCTCTTCGAGGGCGAGACCTCGGCTGGCTTGCCTCCGAAGACGGCCGCCTTGGGCAAGTTGCACCACTTGCACTACAGTCGCCCCCCGAAGCTGACCTTCCTGAAGCCGTCGGCGCCTGGCATACCGCACGACTTGCAGAACCAGGGGGAGCGGCCGCTGGCAAGGCAGGCAGCACTGTTGCCCAGCGAAAACGGCCCTCCGCCCGCCGCAGGCTTGGTGCCCTGGCCACGGCCTCCAGCCCCGCCGCCCCGCCCCGCCATTGTTGCCATCCTCGGAGAGAAGGCACCCGCGCAAGCACCGCGAGCAGGAGGAGGGCCGCCGCGCGCCGCGGCCGAGCACACGTAGTCTGAGGAATTGACCCCTGGCCCAAAGCGCGAGACCCCTCGCGCTCCAGAGTCGCCCGCAAGGGACTTGCGGTCGTCGGGTGTCTCATGGCCTTGAGCCAACATTGCTGCGGAATTTCTCTCTCTCTCTCTCTCTCTCTCTTTCTCGTTCTTTCTTTTTTTGTTTCTCTCTCTCTCTCTCTCTCTCTGCCTTCTTTATTTATATATTTAGTTACCTGTTTTGTCTTTAGTTCATTCTCTTTTTTTTCTTTCTCTCTCTCTCTCTCTCTCTCTCTCAGACGCCCAACGCAAACCGTGTGAAAACACATGCCAGGAGTGGAAGCCCTGCGATTTGATCTGGATGTTTGGGGTTTCTGGGACGAGAAATGAGGAAACCCTGTGTTTTCCCTTGGTTGTTTTGGAGTTGTGCCACTTTCCCACATCCAGCGAACATCCAACTGAAGAGTACTCCCAGGAGCACCGATCCCCAGAATCAGACATCTAAAACCAAAACATGTCTGGATCAAACCCACGCATATGCAATGTTGGGCACCGTCGTTGTATACACTGCATTAGGTGGAGCTCCCTATGTGGCAACGAAGGGTGTGAGGGGTGTGCTAACATGGGCGCGGTGGGCGCATGCGAGCGCTGGCATGTGGGCCTTCGGTGGAGCTCCCCATGGGGCCACGGAACGTGTTAGGGATGTGCCAAACATCGGTGCGGTGGTCGCATGCGAGCGCTGGCATTTGGGCGTCCGGTGGCCCCCCCCCTTGTGGGGCCACGAAACGAGTGAGTGGTGTGCCAAAAATGGGCGCGTTGGGCTCATGCGCGCGCTGGCATTTGGGCATCCAATCGGGTTCTCGATGGGGCCACGAAACGTGCGAGTGGCGTGTCACAGTGGGTGCGGTGGGCGCATGCGGGCGCTCGCCTGTGGGCCTGCGGCGGCGCCCCCTACGGGGCCACGGAACGTGTGAGGGGAATGCCGAAATCGGAGCAGTGGGCGCATGCGGGCGCTTGCATTTGGGCCGTCGGCAAATTTCTTTTATCGTGCAACGAGACGTGTGGGGTGTGTGTGTGCCAAAACGTGCACGGCAGGCGCATGCCAGCGATGGCATGTGGGCCTTCGGTGGAGCACCCTATGGGGCCACGAAGCGTGTGAGGGATGTGCCAAAGTGGGCGCGGTGGGCGCATTCGCGCTGGCATTTGGGATGTGCCAAAATGCGCGCGCCCTGGGGCCCCCCATATGGGGCCACGAAACGTGTGAGAGGGGTGCGCCAATGCCGAAATGGATGACTGGTGCGGGGGGCAGAGGCAGGGATCGGAGGAAGGGGGAGGGATGAGGAGAGGAGAGGAGAGGAGGTTGGACGCGGGGCGCTGTTTCGTAAAAACAAAGACACAACACCACAGGATGGTTCGGAATAGTCAACATGAAAACACATGGTTTCCTCGCTTCACTTCCTAGAAGTCCCAACCATGCAAATGAAACCACAAGGTTTGCGATGGCAGGGGTCTGGAAACCCCGTGGTTTGATTTTGATGCTTGGGATATCTGGGATGAGAGGTGAGGAAGCCATGTGTTTTCATTAGGACGTTTGGGATGTTTGTGTTTCCTCCCTCCAGCGAAAACCAAACCAAGGAACCCTCCCAGGAGCTCCCGCCCCCAAAATGCCAAACAACGCTATATATCCAAATGAAAGCACACGATTTCCTCACTTCTCATTCCCGAAATCCCTACCATTCCAAGGAACACACATGATGCTGTACGCACCCCGAACATCGCAAACTGTGTTTGATTTGGAAGTTTGGGATTTCAGGGGTGAGCAATGAGGAAATCATGTGGGTTCATGTGGATGTTTGGGGATGTTTGGTATTCTGGAGGTCGGAGCTCCTGGAAAGGCTCCTGGGCTTGATCTTCGCTGGAGGGAGAAACGCCCCCAAATTCAAAACACCCCAATGAAAACACATGGCGTCCTCACTTCTCATCCCAGAAAATCCAAACATCCAAACGAAACACACATGGTTCCCGCTCCCCTGTCATCGCAAACCTGGTTTTCACAGGGATTGTGGTTGGTGTCTGGGGGAGAAGGAGGGGGAGAGAGAGACAGAAAGAGAGAGAGAGAGAGAGAGAGCGACAGAGGCAGACACAGGGAGATAAATGGACAAAGATAGAGAGAGAGAAGCACATTGCAGATCCTGCTGATTATAATATGTTTCCTATTGCGGTTATGGTTATATGTACTTGGAATTGGGCACATCCCAGATCCAGCTGAGTCCAATTGGGATTCCTACTGTAGCCGAATTCGAATGTACTTGAAATTGGCCAGATACCATGTCCAGCTGATTCCAAATCGATACCGGTTGGAACCTAATTCGAATCCCATAGGACTTGTGCAGATCTCAGATCCAGCTCAATCACAAGTTGACCCCTAGTTGAATCGAACTGGCATCTACTTGGAATGGAGCAGATCCCATATCAGAGCTGTTTCCAAATCAATTCCTATTGGGATGGGATCGAAACTTGACTCGAAATGGGTAGATCCCATATGCTGTTGTGATCAATTGGGCTCCGTTTGGAATCCAAACATAATCGAATTGGAATTGGGCAGATCCCATATCCAGCTGATTCCAAGTAGCTGCTTAGTGGGATATAATTCAAATCTAACTGCAGTGGAGCAGATCCCACATCCAGCTGATTACACGTTGATTCCTAGTGAAACCGTATTAGGATCTAACTGGAACTGCACAGATCCCAATTGCAACTGACTCCAATTAGATGCCAGCACCAAACAACAACGGAGACCTGACGACTAGGAAATATGGATGAACATGCGTGGACGCAAAGAAGGCGGATGACCCGTAAGAGTACGAATGGAAAGCTCAAATACCGAGGCAACATGAAAGGGTGCTGAGGGGGAGGGGGGAAGGGCTGCGCATATTCCTATCCATATCCGCCGATCCGGCGCGCGAACTACAAGAAACCGCAGGAAGAGCTTCAGCTCTGAGCCTAAGCAAGAGCTTCAGCTTTGCTTGGGGGGGTGTCGCCGGGCTGGCTCTGCCGGGGAAAGGGGGGAAGGGGGGTGGGGGATGCCTCCATCTAGCGGTTTTCATGATTTGCGCATCCCCCAGATGTTTCTGGGGGACCCACGGTCGCCTGGGTGGCTCTGTCGGGGAAGCAGAAAAGGGAGGGGGGGAGGCCTCTATCTGGCGATTTCTGCATGATTTGCGCATCCCCAGATGGTTCGGGGGGTCCCACGGTTGCTGGGTGGCTCTGTCGGGGAAAAGGGGGAAAGGGAGGGGGGGGGCCTCCATCTAGCGTTTTCTTAATGATTTGCGCTTCCCCTCGATGTTTCGGGGGGCCCCAGGGTCGCCGGGGTGGCTTTGCCTGGGAAGCGGGGGAGGGGTGGGGGGGTCTCCATCTGGCGATTTCTGTGTGATTTGCGCATCCCCCAAATGTTTCGGGGGGTCCCACGGTCGCTGGGGTGGCGAGGGGGGGGCTCAAACTAGAGTTTTCTAGATGATTTGCGCATCCCCCAAATATTTCTGCGGGTCCCACGGTCGCCTGGGTGGCTCTGTCGGGGAAGCGGGAAAGGGAGGGGGGGAGTCCTCCATTTCTGCAAAACCTGCGCAACACCCAAATGTTTCGTGGGGTCCCAGGGTCGCAAGGGTGGCTCTGCCGGGGAAGGGGGGGAGGTGGGGGGCCTCCATTTGGCTTTCTCTTAATGATTTGCACATCCCCAAGATGTCTCGAGGGTACCAGGGACCCCCGCCCAGGACTCTCCCTTTGGAACCCTCCCCAGACCCCCCCTTGGAAACGGGAGGGGGGCAGAGGGGGGGGGCGGTCCCCCATCTGGCGTTTTCTTAATGATTTGCGCATCCCCAACACGTTTCGGGGGGTCCCAGGGCCCCCCCCCGCATCTAGCTGCTAACGCCCCCAGGACCCTCCCCTCGGAACCCTCCCCGACCCCCCCCCTGGGACCGCTCCAGGCACCCCCTCAGAGGGCACGTCAGATCCAAAACGCATCCCTGACGACTCCAAGAACGCCCTCCTCCCAAACAGCGTCCCCGACGACTCCAAGATCACCGGAGCCGGAATCCCACGGATCGGCGGCACTGGCAG